AAGAAAAAACAAAAACAAAAAGTCAACTTGGGCTTACTTTTGTGAAGTTTCCCCTGCACTCTCCAGCCGTCTGTGATTTCTTTCTCCCCTAAACTCCTGTAACAATGTAGAGTCTGCCCTACATTTTGAGGTTCTTAGCCTAGGTTCTCCAGTGTTCTATGTACTCTATCTCCAAATAAGATGACCTAGATCCTTGTGGTGTCTGAGCATGACTATTTCCTGAAACTCCCTTTTCCCGGCCAAACCTTACACTTGGTTGATGTTTCTGTGACTTTTTTTTTTTTTAAACTAATCTCTTCTTTGTGAAAATTTTATTTCATGTATATGTTTGCTTGATGTGCTTGAGAATTCTGGAGCTGAAGTTGTAGCTCAGTGGTAGAGCACTTGCCTAGCACTAGTGAGGTACTGGGTTCAATCCTCAGCACCACATGAAAATAAATAAAAGTATTGTGTCCATCTACAACTAAAAAAGAAAAAAAAAAGAAATACTTCCAAGTTATATCATGGGAATAAGAAATTGTTTAGCAGCTCAAAAATACCCTAGCAGGAAAAAATAGGACAAAGTAAGAGATAAAACCCAAGAAATAAAACATAGTGTTTGAAAACTAATGTAGTTTTAACTATAACATTTCTGAGAAACAAGATACATAATAAAAATTTCTTTTTTTCATTTGGCTCATTTAGTTGGCAGCCTTTTAGAAACTAGTCCCTATTTTCCTGGTAACCATAGTGAGTTAATTAGCCCTTCTGATGTGTTATCCACTAGTCCTCAAGGTTCTCATTTTGAGTGAATGGCAACATTGGATTTAAATTTTGGCAAATCTGATCTTAGATCCACATGATTTCTAAGTCCTTGAGGACTATATTCAACTGATCCTATATTGCATATTCCTTTCTGTACCTACTTCAGGGCTGTGTATCTATTAGGTGCAGACAATTGACATAGACAGTTTTAGAATTAAAGAAAAAAACCTTCTGAAAAAAAATCTTGATCTTTGAAACTGAAATTATGCAAACAAACAATAATACTAACAGCTTACTTATGATTAAATCTTCACTTAGATAGGCACTGTATTTGAGGTAGATTAATTTTGTATTTACATTAAGTGAGGGAAGTGGTACTGTTGTTATCCTCCTTTGCAGATGAGACTCAGAGGTTAAATAACTTGACAGCTAAATGAGAGAACCAGGATTCAAATGAAAACCTTTTGTCCCCTACTGGGTCTCTGTGTTTAATCTTATGTTTATGTTATTGTTTTCCCAAAGTTTAGTCACATGGACAAGTAACTTGTTAATAATACTTGTCTTTGTTTCCAAATAGATGGGAAAATCTTTAAGAGGGGATCATGCCCCAAAATGATTATTACAGAAATATGACATACTCAGTACTGAATCTTCCAGAATGAATAAATATATAAAAACTTGGTTACAAATGCATAGATACTTTTTCTGATTCAGCTCACAAGCTCTTTTCCTGACTTGGTTTATTTTCTTTGTTGTTTCTAGTAATTTAGCATTTTCTGAGTACTACCTTTATCATCGACTGTGATATTACAACTTGTTTAACACTCTAAGGTTTGCAATGACTCTTCATAAATATGAACTGCTTTTATTTCTTACAATGATATCTTGGGTATTACACTTATTTTTAGAAGAGAAAAGTGAGATTTAGGGTGGTAGCCCTTGGCAACTCATTGGAGGTTTTTGGAAAGGGGAGTGACATGAGCAGAATTGTGATAGAGCTTAGTGTGGACCACAGTGTGTAGGTTAGACAGTCGGGGTGGAAACCACATGCAGGCAGACCATTTATCTTTTGATTGCTTTGACTAGGCAATGTGAACCTGAACCGGGAGGGCATATCAAGAGTGAAACCTTTTTTCCTTTAACAAGAAATGTTTTCAAGGAGCATAATATCCTCCAGCCAAAATAATGTTGCTCCCACTTAGAACCTATGTGTAGGAGTCATTGTACAGGTGAAGCTACATAATTTAGACTTTGGAAATGAAGGAGTGCTACTATTAGATCAGTTAAGTTGCGCATACTCAAAACTAGGTAGTCATCCTTGACTATCTCTTTCAGCTTTGCTCTCCACATTCATTTGACCCACAAATCCTGCTGATTTCTCCTCCTCCTCCTCCTCCTCCTCCTCTTCCTTCCTCCTTTTTTGAACCAGGGATTGAACTCAGGGTCACTTGACCACTGAGCCACATCCCCAGCCCTATTTTGTATTTTATTGAGAGACAGGGTCTCACTGAGTTGCTTTGTTCCTTGCTTTTGCTGACGCTGGGTTTGAAAACTCACCATCCTCCAAAGCCACTGTGCCCAGCTGATTTTACCTTCTTAATGATGCTCAAACTTATTCCCTCTCTCCAATTTATCATTTGACTTCTTCAAAAGTTCCTTGACTTCCCTAGGCAATGTTAGGTGTCTTACATTTATTTGCTGATCATATTTATTTGATAAATAATTTTATTGTAGGACCAAGAATATATTCACATTGCATTGGATTCAGTTAACTTATTTTTCACTTAACAATTAAATTTAAAAAATTAAGTTGTAGATGGATACAATACCTTTATTTTATTTATCTTTATGTAGTGCTAAGGATTGAACCCAATGCCTCACTCATATGAGATGAGTGCTCTACCACTAAGCCACAACCCCAGCCCAACAATGAAATTCTTAAGAGTAATGCTTCCTTAGAAAATTTTGGGCTTGAGCCCTTGGCTCATGCTCTTGATCCATGCTCTTGCCTGAAAAAAGCAATGAGGGCAATGCTAGAGCACAGGAAAATATGTGAAATTGTGTAACTCTGCCCTGGCTTCACCTCTAGTCCAGCTCCTAGCAACTGTCCCTCTATAAATATTAATACCACACATCATGGGCTTGTTGTTTCTCCCTCTGGCAATGCCCACATTCTCGGTCACATTTATATTCCTCGCTTTATCCTCAAAGTTTTTCATTCTTGAGATAGTCCACATTCTCCTTTGAATGTGCCTCTATTTTCCCAAATAAACCTCTATGTCTCTGAAAAAATAAAAGAAAAAAGAAAATATTAGACTGTGTTTATAGCTCAGTGGTAAAGTGTAAGCTTAGCTAGTGCAAAGCCCCAGTTTTCAATTCCCAGCACATACAGACATGCATGTAAAAAAACAATTATACATCTCTAGTGCCTAGCATACAGGAAGGCAAATGATCTCAAAATTGTTTAGCCTAACTGATAGAATAGCACATTCACTGCATTCTTACTATGTATTAGGCAGTTCATGAAAAGATTAGAAAGAAATAGTTTCTTCTGGAAGAAATCAGATGACAGCATGGAGGTGATATGATTAAGAGCACAACCAACTATATCATCTTGAATCAATTATTTAATATCAGAATCTCATTTTCCTTATTTGTAAAAGGAGATCTATAACATATATAGCTTAATAAAAACAATGCAATTTGCAAATTCTTCCACACACTAAAATGAACGATTGTATTTAAAGCACTTAAGGTAGTGACAGTTGTAGTAGACACAGGTGGTTGTTATTATGAAGATGAGCCAAGCACAGACAAAACTATAATGCAAGGGTAAATTTTTAGGTGCTATTGAGCATTTAAGAGTTTCACAGAAAATGTGACTATATAGCTTGGTAATGACTCATGAAAATATTCAAGGTCAAGCCTTAGATATCTGTCTCTTAGAGCCTTAGAAATCAAGAAATCCTAGATCTGGAGTCAAAAGCTCAAATATGACAGTGATCAGATTGGCTACACATTAGAATCAGCCTGGGAACTGCAAAGGTAAATCAATGGCCAAGCTCGACCACAAAGGTGTCAGAATTTCTAGGAATAGCTTGCATCCCTGGCAACATGAGTATGACTTTAAATCTCTTTGAGTAATTCTAATGTGCAGCTAGAGTCGAGAACCACTGCAATTCTAAATCATTGAGGGCAAGATGGGCGAACAGGAGTGTAATTTCTTTCTTTCTTCTTCTTTTTAAATAAATAAATAAATAAATAAATAAATATATATATATATATATATATATTAGTTGTAGTTGGACACAATACCTTTATTTTTATTTGTTTGTATTTTTATGTGATGCTGAGGATCGAACCCAGTGCCTCGCACATGCTAGGCGAGCGCTCTACCGCTGAGCCACAACCTCAGCCCCAGGAGTGTAGTTTCTTATTAACTGCCTTCGATTGTTTCAATGTTTATTGACAGCTTTTTTGAAAAGGTCCAAAATTGCAGGTGAAATTTCCAAATTTCAAAACGTTGGCAAGCATTTTAAAACGTTTAAGTCAGGATGGTGGCGCGATTTGGGAAGCTAAGGTTGAAGGATTGCTAGTTCGAGCCCAGCCTCAGCAATGCAGCAAGATCCTGTCTCAAAAAATAAAAAAAAGACTGGGGATGTAGCTCAGTGGTAGAGTGCCCCTGGTTTCAATCCCTCTGCAGACACACACACACACACACACACACACACGTCCAAAGAACACCGAGGTTGGGGATGGGAGTGGGGTCCGTCGGTAAAGCAAGCATGTATACTGTCCCTCAGTTAGTACCCTTCCTTCCAGTTCAACTCCCGGCTTTCAAGAAACGTGTTCTGAGTAGTTAGATAACTTATTCAAGATTATACAACAAATCACACAGAGTTGGGACTAAAACCCAGTTCTTTCAGATTTTATATTGCTTTTATGTGAAGAAAGGACCACTTTGGAGATGCGCTTTAAAAATAGTTAAGACTGGGGGAAGACAGGTAGTTTCAGGTTCAAGGAACTTGGAGAACTGTGCCTCCCAGTATCCCATCGCGGACCGCAACCCCAGATGATGACTAAATTGTGATAAGTAACGTGAACGCCGAGATCTCAAGCAGAAAGGGGAGGCAGCTACGCAAGATTATTCCACCAGCAGCGCCGCGGAGGAGCTGGGCCGGTTAAGAGCAATGAATTACGACCTCTGCTGGTCACGCTCACGACTCCTGCCGTAAAGCCCGTGTAGAGCGCATGCGCGCCTCTCCTCCCTTTCGGATTACGGACCCGGTCACTGCGGTGGGGATCCACACAGCGTTGCCCGGCCGTCGCCATGGTGAAGCTGAGTAAAGAGGCTAAACAGAGGCTGCAGCAGCTCTTCAAGGGCGGCCAGTTTGCCATCCGTTGGGGCTTTATTCCTCTCGTGATTTACTTGGGTCAGTGGGAGAAGAGCCTGGGAGGAGACTTGAGGGAAGGGGTTGATGGCGTCTGCGACTCCATCTTTGGCCTTCGTGAGCGGGAGACGGAAACGTGATCCCGCCGTGCAGGTCTTCTGAGGCTGTCTGGTCTAGTGGGGTCGATTTAAACCGAATTCCCTCTTTTACTAGTTGTGTGGTGTTTAACAAGTGACGTAATTCCTCCCATTCTGTAAAACGGAGGCAAGATTTACTTTTCAGGATTGTCGTGGGGGTTAGATGATGACCCGATGTCTGTGAAAGTGATAACTATTTGGCACTAAGTGGGTTTTCAGGGCGTTTCTCTTCATCTCCAGGTGGGTCTCTGTGGCTTTCATCAGAAGAATGAATAATGTTTTCCTTTAGCATGCTAGAGTTTATTTTCCTTTATGCACAATGATTCCTTTTCCTAAGACAACCATCATGTTAATTTTTTCATCCTAGGGTCTAACTCAGGTTTTTTGAGATTTATGTTAAAGTTATCTTTCTAGAACTTATTCCTTGTTTATTAGTGTCGTTTCTTTTACACTATATATAAAATTTAACTTTGTTTAAACCAATTCCAAGGTTCTTTAATTCACACTAAAATCTGCATCCACAGATTAATCTTATGTAATTCAAGACGTTTTAGGGCTTGATTGCATATAGTGCTGTAAGATGTGACAGAAAGTGACATTAAGCAACAAAAAGGTTTTAATGTGCCACCAGTTGAAAGACAGTTCTACATGGACTCTTGTCTTTCTGTAATCTTGTGTGTGGAGACTCTGATGACCCTTGGTTCCATGTTATCTTTTGGAGGTGTTTATAGAACAACCTTCCAGAGCTAAGGGGAGACATACTTTTAGCCCAACAGTTTATGGTTCCCTAAATGTAGGATTTATCTTCACTATATGTGCAGTTATCAACTGGCCTTCTTCCTGGGGCTTTGCATCAGGTCTTGGGTTATTGAAGATAATATGATGAAACTCTGACTACAGCTATCGCTGGGAATAATAAACTCTTGTCTGTGACTGACTCAGAACCTTGTGTCTTAAACCCTTGTGAAACTGGAAGGCTAGTTTGATGTCCTGAAAATAGGGTAAAATTTCAGACCCCTCACAGTTCTTTATATTCTGATTTTAATCAGTTATTTAAGCAAATTAGCATATATCATCAAATCAAAATTTTGGGTGAGGGAATGGGAACCAGGGATTGAATCCAGAACACTTAACCTTTTTAAAATTTTTTTGTTTTTGAGACAGGGCCTTGCTAAGTTGCTGAGGCTGGCTTTGAATTTACAATCCTTCATTGGGAGTGCCACTACACCCTGCCTCCTTTCTTTTGTATCACTAGACTTTGCTTTATAAAAAGAGAGGTTTGTTTGGAATAAAATATGATATCCTCAGTTTTGTTTTTGAAAAAGATTAGCTGTTGTTGGTTTTTTGGTCTTTGTGCTCTTTGTAGTCTGTCATCCAGTATGATTTGGGAATTGCTGTAACTTATTTCTGGGTAATGACCAATAATGAAAAGTAGAGGATGCTAAGAGCTTCTGTGCTAATTGTGTATATGCTAGAATTAAGTAGTTTGTTATTCCTTCTGATTAGTCCTGGACATAATTTCATATTCTAGTGAAGATTGGAAACTATTCTGTAGCCCCAGTATATCTAGATAGAGTTGATAGATCTAGAGAGCTGTCCTAGGTTGGGTTTTAAAAAAAGCCTTGAAGGTAGATTTTTTTTGTCTGCTGGGGTATTAATTAGTATTTTTTTTTTCTTCACCCTTCCTCTTCCTTTCAGGATTTAAAAGGGGTGCAGATCCTGGAATGCCTGAACCAACAGTTTTGAGGTACTGTTCTTACAAATAAACATTACAGGGCAAATGCTCATATGTTAGTATTGAAACATTGAGAAACAAAAGAGTAACAGTGGTAGGTGTTGACATGAATCTTTCACCAGGCATTATAAACTGCAATAGTTTGTAAACTGTTTGGTCCCCTGCTTTGTCCCCTTCCAAATTTTTTTTTGGTATAATTATAGTGAAACACATTTTAAAGGAAAAGAACTAATTTATTATTCTACCACATTAAATCGTGAAACTATTTTTAATTTTCTGTATTCCCATCTTATCTGTATTCACCTGAATACAACTTTTTACATCATTTTAGCAAAGGTATATAGGCTTCTGGGTTTTTTCCACCTAAAATTAGAATTGATGTCCAATGTATTTTCCACTTGAGGATTACTTAGGTTTTTCAGTATTATACATAACAATATAATTAACCTTTTTAATGCATATAACTTAGATTTTGATTTATTTTCTTATGATGCATTCTTATGGGTTCAGTAAGTCCAATATATGAACATTTGTGGTGCTAAAAATGCACTGTGTATTCCTTTCTCAGAAACAGTCTTGCTAATGTTGGATAAACACTTGAGGAAACACTCACACACATGCATATTATATATATGCATCCAAGCCTTTAACACATAGGCTTTTGGAGGGCATTCAAAATTTAAACTGCAGCTACTTTACATGTAGCAAACAGGTAAGTCTGATATTCCTGGCACTGTGATGACCAGACTACTGCATACTGGTGCTATGGGATTTCAGTTTGAGATTGTTTCATAGACATCTCTTATAGTTTGCCAAAATACACTTCATTGGTTATTTGAGATCCTCGGATTGTTCCAAATTGTCCTCTAAGTCACTTTCCAGAGTGACAGAAAATAATAATACAAATTGAGTATTTTAAAAAAAATATTTGGGAACAGAAGTGTTTTGGAGATCAGATTTTTGAATAAGGGATGTTTACTCTATACTAATACTAATCATGGTCACCTACACTGTGTCAGCTATTGTTTTAGGTGCTTTATAAAAACATTATCTATAGTTGTCATTATAGTCCTAGAGAACAGGTCACACAGTCAGTAGGTGGTGGAACATCTATCTCCAAAGGCTTTTCACTGGGACACTTGGACTCCTACAGGTAATCTTACCTGGTACTCAGCATAGAGTCATCTGATAGGAATTTTGTCCACCTCCTCTGCCTTACTGCTATCCCACAGGTACTTTTTCTTTTCAAAAAAGTACCACTATATGCTGTCTTCCTCAACTTGTCCACTTTTGTGGTTACTATTTTCCCTGATAACCTTCTTCAACAAATGGTCTTCACTTGTTGCTCTTTTCTTCACCTACCTTTCTCCCTTTAACCCTTTGTGACATGTCTGCTTAAAACTGCTTTCAGAGCCCCACTAAGTTCCTTTTTTCTTAGCCCTTGTTCAAAGAACTATTAATTTCCTTTTCTGTAAAAAGGCCATTGAGATCATGTATCTGCTTTTAACTAACTGAGTGACCATAGACCAATTATTTCCTAGGGAAACTACCTTAGGGCACATGATCATAGATGGAATTACTATGTGAATATTTTCTAAATACTGGAAATTATTATCAAATACCTTTCCCCAAGGCCACTAACCTTTCTCAGCTCCTCTTTCCTAAGTTGGGCATAGTAATACCTATTTCACAAGGTTGCCATGAGGATTGAATAAGAATACTGTCTGTAAAGTGTTAACTGTGTTAGCAATACTTGTCAAATAATGTGATCAATAAACTATTAATAGTAATTTTTTAATCTTTTTGGTGATATTTTCTTTATCCTTCCCTCTTTCTATGATAACAATGCTCTAGTCATATGATATTGCATGCTAATCTTGGAATAAATAAATTATAAATAAATAAATAAATTATATTTTCATGACATTGTCTATTTGCTTGTGGTCCCTCAGTCTGGAATACTTTTTCCCCTAAGTTTCGACCTGATGGAAACCTGCTTCTAGAACAGCCCAATCTCAAATGTTGCCTCTGCCCAAACTTTCCTCCTGTCTGAAATTGATCAGATTTCTGTGTTCCCAGAGTATTCTTTGGTGAATGGCATTCTCTACCTTTTATTATGTCTGTTGTTTATTTTCATTACATGTTTTGCTCAACAAGTATTGAATTAATTAAATGACCCTTCTACCTTAGGTGATATAGGATTCAGAGGTGGGGCTGGAATGTATACTATTTTGGCTTCAGTTATCCCAGCCAGTTTTGATCTTCAAAGTTGCAGACTAGATGAAGCAACCCCTACCTAATTTTTCATTTTTTTACTTTATTGTTTTCTTAATGCTCCTTTCCTTTCTTGTGCTTTCTCAGTCTTTTCTGTCATATATTCTGGTTTCCTTTCCAGGTGTACTTATGTTTTAGGAAAAAATTGATTACCTGCAAAAAGATGTCCAGTTAATGGAATTTCATATATTGTACTGACTGTTCTGGGGAGACTACTAAAGAATTCTTCCTGGGTTGCCTACTTTGTACCCTGAAGGAACAGAATTGTGTATGCTTTGGTTTTATTAATATAAAATTAATATAAAGTCTATTGTTTTACACAAATTTATTATTTGTATAATATTTGTGTAAATATTATAATTAATGATTTACTGATTTCTTTCCTTTGCCAAGTTGTTGGGTTTTTGAGATTTAGAACCACATTCATCTTAGTGTCCTCCTTTTTCACCCAGATTGGTACATTGTGTGTGGTCAGCAATTGCTATTTGATAGGAACAGTTATTCAAAATGCAGTATTTTAATGAATAAAGGGGTAATATCTTAGTAAAATATTACTAAGGCAAATAAATTGACTAACAGAATAATTATTTTCATTATCTGTGTAAGGCCAAGGAAGATTTTCTCTCTTTTTATTTTGTATGCTTATTACATTGAGGAACAGACCTAAATAGATGAAGAGTTTATTTTCATGTCTTAACAAAAATACTTGGGGTTAAATAAAAATAGATGCATGTTGGGGTTTTCTAGGCATAGAGAAATTTTTTTAAAATAAAAACTGCATTCTATTTTTATAATACCAGGATCACACCCTTATACTGGCAAGCACTCTCCTACTGAGCTATATCTGTAGTCCTCAGAAATCACACTTCCAATCAGCAGGACTGTAGGATTTAGACTTGAAATACTTCATTTCTCCTTTATTGATTCTGTTGTTTCAAGTTAGCAAATTGGGAGTCTGGGCTGCTTACTGGCTGCAATGTTTGGGGTCAGAATAAGTTGAAGGGGAAATGGAGGCAAATTGCCTAAGGATGTGGTTAAGAGCACCTAGGTCACATCTTATTCTTCTACTTATGATATGTAACCATCTCAAAGCCTCAGTTTCCACATCTTTAAAATAAGGATGGTAAATGGGACTTACAGAAAGCATTCAGTAAAAATGTTATTTCAGTATCATTGATATTGCATCTAATAATGATACTTTTATTATTTGGGTTCATTAATTTTTCTAGTTAATGCAAATCATTAATCATTTATCTTTTGATTGAGTTTACATATTAACTTACGTATCCTTTTTGTTTATAATAAGTAACCACACTCAAATGTAACAAATTGTTTTTATGGTTCTGTGTGTTTAGTTTTTTATTATTTTGCTTCACGAGGTTGATTCTTAACTCTGAATTTGATAGATAATCAAACATAAAAATTCACAAAATCTAGTTCTTAAGCTGTGTATAGAAAGTTTTTGTTTAGGGATTTAATTTATTTCTCCTCTTCACAAATATTTTAGCCTACTTTGGGGATGAACTGTTTTGTCATCTGGATTTGGAAGCAGTCATCCAACAGGAACAACATGGAAGGTGTATGCTCTGGCTGGGATAAGCAATGGGACATCATTCAGACAGTCACCAATTGGATGGCACAGGATTCTTACTTCTCAGATGCATCTGTGGCAGAGTGGAACCTCTCCTGACTTATTTATGATGGACTATATAAAAATAAATATTTTCAACAATGTTCTATATTGTGTCTTTTTTTAATAGAGCACACTGGGACTATCAGCTAAAAACTAAGCCTTTTGTTACTTTTTCAAAACAGAATCTTGTATTTGCTGAGATGCCACCTTAAAAAACAAAAATCCCAATTCCTGGGCCACCACTTAACAAATGGTTTCTGGTTTTCCTTTGCAGTAAAAGTCCCTCAGGGATGTTCTCAGATAAGAAGAATGGAGACAAGTTTCAGTTTGCGACAAACTGGGCTATTCCATTACATTGAAATGAAGTTCTGACTACAGGCAATAGGGGTTTTGGCATCTCTGTTGCTAGGGATAGGAGTGGCATTGGGGACTTGTTATTTATTTAGTGAGTCAAAGATTTTCTTCTGGGGTGGTAGCAAACTAGAGTATCCAGTGAAGTGGCCCTGGGGATTACACAGGATGGTGACATTTCCTCTTCTGGTAGAAGAAAGGGCAGTTAATGGGAACTAGTTTTCAGTTCTAGATGCTGGTTTGTTGGGATCCTTGCCTGTATTTTAACACTATTGTTTAGTTTTTTCTGTTCTAACAAAATAGCCATTTACTTAGTTTGAGAGAGAGAATGAATTAAGAAAAGTAGAACCTGAAACAAGATATGACAGTTTGGGAGGGGCCCAGTGTTGGAATGTTTTAAATATCCAGTGTTTTAAGTATAGAATGATCATTTGTGAATATAATCTCTTTCAGGTGTCTGGATCTGTCATTATCAAAAAATTTTTTTTCCCTTAATTTTAATGTAAATGCCTCTGCTATTTAATCCTATTTCCTCAAGTTTTCTTACTTTGCCATGGAGACCAAGAAGACTGCAGGCTTATTGCATAAGGGGGTTTTGTTTTAAATGGAATTCTTGAGAACTGCAGGAAACCATTTATGGTAAGCACTTCATGTAATTGCTTCACCATCTTTATGAATCTAGGCACGTATGGTTTTGCTAAAAACTGAGCACAAGTTGTTAAGTCCCATAGAATTGCCTAAGTTTGTGTCCCCACCCTCCCTTTCTGTTAAGCATGTTAAGTGAATTCTTGTTTGCTTAGTATTTTGGTGTTTTGTTTTTCTTTGTCATCCAGGGTTTTTAGAAATTAAAGCAAAGCTGTGGTGAGTGTCCATTTTGATAAAACAGTAATGTGGATAAAATGTAACTGGTTTTATAGTGTTTTGGAAGTTACCTTGTAGCTGTCTACAGAATATTTGCTTTTAAGTAAGGAATTCTGAATATCCCAGGTGAGGAAACTAAGGAACAAAGTTTAAGCCTTGTTCAAAAGGCATAGGATATGAGCTGAGATAGCACACACTCTAATTGGTGTACATATATCAAAGTGTTAAATGTTTGAAGCTAAGATCCTGTATTTTAGATTTTAGGGCAATGCAATCCAGAATGACAAATGTTTATGGTCTGTGTTTTGTGCTAGGAGCTAGAAAGTCCTTAAGATTATTCTCAACCTTGATTTGCTCAGGGAAAACCACCAAGCTGATAGGACTTGATTATGAGTCCTGGCAAGGCTATGTAGTTCATAGAACCCTTGGTGAAGAAGTCACATGATATTTAGGCTTCTACTAAAACAAAAGCAGTAATTGTTGCCCCCAAAGCATTACTATGTAAACCAGTGGTTTTTATAGCTCTAAAACTAGTATTAACCAGAGATACATAAGAAATGAATATATTCAGGTCCCATCCCAGATGTGAATCAGAAATAGGTGGTGGGGCCTTGGGTGAAGCATGTTTTCACTTTTTCAGCTATTATTTAAAATTAAACCTTATTTTGAGAAAATTGTATGTTATATGTAGTATAAGAAATGATACAGAAAGATCTCTGTACCCTCTACCCAGTGTGCTACAATAGTTACGTCTTGCAAAACTATAGTACAATACCAGGTTATTGACACTGATACAGTCAAGACAGAATACTGTACCCAGAAAATGTTCTCTCAGAGTTTTGTGTCCTTTTATAGCCCACTGGTCTACCTGACTTCTCTCCCTCCTCAGGCAACCAGTAATTTGTTGTCCTTTTTGTCATTTCGAGAAAAGTTATATCAATGGAATTGCTAAGTAACCTTTTGGCATTGGCCTTTTCCACTTAGCCTAGTTCTCTACATTCCTCTGGGTTGTATGCATCAAATGCATAAACATTGATATGGCTGTGTCACTACAGTCTGCTGATTTTAAGTCCTTTGGGCATAAACCAAGGAGTGGGATAACTGGGTCAAATGGTGCTTCCATTCCCAGTTTTCTGAGGAATCTCCATATTGCTTTCCATAGTGGTTGCACCAATTTGCAGTCCCACCAGCAGTGTATGAGTGTACCTTTTTCCTTACATTTTCGCCAACATTTATTGTTGCCTGTATTCTTGATGATTGCCATTCTGACATGAGTGAGATGAAATCTTAAGAGTAGATTTAATTTGAATTTCTATAATTGCTAGAGATGTTGATCACTTTTTTATATATTTGCTGATCAATTGTATTTCTTCTGTGAAGTGTCTGTTCAGTTCCTTAACCCATTTGTTGATTGGGTTATTTGTTGTTTTGGTGTTAAGTTTTTTGAGTTCTTTATATATCCTAGAGATTAATGCTTTATCGGAGGTGCATGTGGTAAAGATTTTTCCCAATCTGTAGGCTCTCATGTTATTGTTTCCTTTGCTGAGAAGAAGCTCTTTAGTTTGAATCCATCCCATTTATTGATTCTTGTTTTACTTCTTGGCTTTAGTAGGAGTCTTGTTAAGGAAGTTAGATCCTAGGCCAACGTGGTGCAGATTTGGGTCTAGTTTTTCTTCTGTTAGGTGCAGGATATCTGTTCTAGTGCCTAAGTCTTTCATCCACTTTGAGTTGATTTTTGTGCAGGGTGGGAGATAGAGGTTTGATTTCATTTTGTTACATATGGACTTCCAGTTTTGCTAGCACCGTTTGTTAATATGCTATCTTTTCTCCAGTGAATGTTTTTGGCACCCTTGTCTAGTATGAGATAACCATATTTATGTGGGTTTGTCTCTGTGTCCTCTATTCTGTATCATAGGTCTACAAATCTATTTTGGTGTCAATACCATGCCATTTTTGTTTCTGTAGCTCTGTAGTATAGTTTCAGGTCTGGTATTGTGGTGTCTTCTGCTTCACTTTTCTTGCAAAGGATTGCTTTAACTATTCTGGGTCTCTTATTTTTCCAAATAAATTTCATAATTGATTTTTCTATTACTACTAAGAGTGTCATTGGGATTTTAATAGGAATTGCATTAAATCTGTATAATGCTTTTGGTAGTATGGCCATTTTGACTATTAAGTCTACCTATTCATCACACTAGCTAGACTATGGAACCAGCCTAGGTGTCCCTCAATATGTGAATGGATAAAGAAAATGTGGTATATATACTCAATGGAATATTACTCAGCTTTAAATAAGAGTGAAATTATGGCATTTGTCAGTGATGATTGGAGTTGGAGAATATCAAGCCAATTCTACACAACCAAAGGCCAAATGTTTTCTCTAATATGCGGATGCTAGTTCATAATGAGGTGGGGAGCACTAGGGAAGAATAGTGTAACCTTAGATTAGGTAGAGCAAAATGATGGGAGGGGAGGGAGGAGATGTAGAAATAGGAAAGATACTAGAATGAAACAGACATCATTATTTTATGTATATATGTGACTACATGACCAATATGATTCTGCAACATGTACACTCAGAAAAATGAGAAATTATATCGCATCTATGTATGATATATCAAAGTGGATGCATTCTATTGTCAGGTATAACTAATTAAAACAAATTTCAAAAAGTTAATTCCTTTGTTTTTGCTGAGTAGTAGTTCATGGTACAGATATGAATGAGGGTATGGTGTAGACATGCATAGGTTTCCAATTTTTAGTTTTTAAAAAACTACAGGTTTTTGTATGATCAATCCATATCTTAAACCAAATCCAGGTGTTTCTGATAGAACTCTTGCTGCCTAAACTTGCAGTACCCTCTTGCTTCCCCATAACATCCAATGTGAACCTCACTTTCCATGACCTAAGTGACCCTATGTTATGAAGCCTTATATGCCTGTGTCTCTTTGTTGTCCACAACTCTTGCTGTTTTTGTCTCTTTCTGTCCCATAAAGTGGCCAGGTGTGTTCTCACCTTGTAGTCTGTACTATTCTAGAATTCTTTTCCCCTGAATACCTATATGCTTGACTTACTTTTTCTAATCTGTACAAATGTCATCTTGTTAGGACTTCCCTGATCCTTATGTGAAATAAGAAACTTTATACCATAACTTATTTTTGTGTATATATATTTGTGTGATTGTGTGTGTACTTCTAGTTTGTGAGCTCTCTAGATTCAGTACTGTGTTTGCTGCTATATTTTTAAAGTGAAGCAAAGGAGTGAATGAATTATTATACACCCATTCCTTCTTCCTCACTATAACTATTCCTCCCCCAAACCTTCTATTTACCTATCTTTTTCACCATAGGGGTCAAAACCTAGTTACTTTGTTCATTACTATATTCCTAACATCTAAAATAGTACTTGACACGTTGGGGCCAGTATTTGGTGGGGCAAAAAGACATGACATAGAGTATTTTCTATCAAAACCCCATTTTTGTGAGGTTTGTGAAATTTATACTCTGCTCCCTACTTTCTCAGCAACTGTTTTCTTAACCTCCTAAAATCTTGCACTCTTCTATAGCTAAGAACTAGGGTTTTTTTTTTTTTTTTTAAGTGTATTTATTTATTTATTTTTTTTTTAAAGAGAGAGTGGGAGAGAGAGAATTTTTTTAATATTTATTTTTTTAGTTCTCGGCGGACACAACATCTTTGTTTGTATGAAGAATTTTTATGAAGATTCATCATTGGATTTTTATTTATTTATTTATTTATTTTTATATTGGTGATTAACTCCACAGGCACCTTACCTCTGAAGTACATCCCCAGTCTTTTTTTTTTTTTTTTTGAGACAGGTCTCACTTAGTTACTGAGGCTGGCCTCGAACTTGGAATCCTCCTGCCTTGATCTC